TTATGCCTGTCGTCTATGTAACTCCGTACTGGAGAAAATTATTGAATTGAATAATATGACTTTCGAATTAGATCGGAAGTTAGTATAATCGGGGTCTTCTGTCCTTTAGCTTTCCACATCTGTTTTCGACTTTCATCTATCTAACACCTTTCTTGAGATTAAGAACAGACAATAGAAAAACGGAAGACAGTGGGAGTTTATAGGTGTATTAACATATTTTACTTCTTTTCAAGAATTTAAACTATTTATATTGTGAATAGATATTATATTATTAACTTTCAAATAAATAAATATATATATTTTCATTTTTTATTTTCGATTAGACTTCTCAACCACGGCTACCTGTGAACGACGGCTGTTTTTCAGGAATGTTTCATAATTAATATAAATTATATTTATATTAATTATGTCTCGAAAAGTTCAGCAAAGTTTTCGCAGAAAAGTAATTTATCGGGAAGCACGCGAGCGCCATTCGATGCACCGCTCCACGACGAAAACAAGCTTAAGCAATGGCGTCGTCGAACGGTGCACACTCGGTAAGTAATTCTACAATCTTTTGTTTATAGCATAGTTTATACGGATTATTCCCAAAAAATTATACGTATTTTGGAAATGTTGAGTCGAATTAGTCTAGAATCGATTAATTTTATGGAAGAAACCTTTCAAACAGCCGTAGTCCGTAAACTGCATACGGGCCGGGCTATGATTGGCTCGTGTATTTAAGGACTCGTAGAACATCAATTTCATAAAGAACGGAACGTATCTACCGTGTTATAGGGGGGTCGACTGTAGTAAGATTTATGTCGATTCGGCAGTGACAATCCACACCTTTTGATGTAAAGCATCTCTAAATCATAACGCATTAAATTATGCATGCTGTTTCGATGTTAGAAACGTTTAGTCGTTTTTCTCTGGTAATACTGGCGTTTTGTGATCTAAAAACCGGTTAATTTTGCCTCTAAACGAAGCAATCGTCATCGATCATTTTTTGTGCAATTTCTATACNAGCCCAATAAGTATACTCCACTAATTCGAGTGGATAAAACCACCGAATACTGTTAGGCCCTGTACACACTAGGCGTTTTTCAACGCGCGTTAAACGCCGAGCTAACGCGCGTTAGCTCGGCGTTCGACGAGCGTTTAACGCGCGTTGAAAAACGCCTAGTGTGTACAGGCTCTTAGTCAGTCATGCATTCGCGCATGGCCAACGGACTAGCTACGTGGAGTTTTCTGGATTTTTCTCGCGTTAGTAACGCTTCAATTGGGGCCAACTTTACGTAAACGTCTTTCCGGGATGCATACCCCTCGGCAGATCGCTCACGTGTCGTAACCAAATAAACCAAACTAATTCTAACGAACGATTATTTATTGTGACATCGTCATAATGTCGAGCTGCAACTTTTCGTCACAATATTCTCAATTCTTTTAGTGGTGATCTTGCCCTCGTACATCACACTTTTCCTGTTAGCTCATAGAAGGCGTGTTAGTGACCATAGAACATCGCACGATAAAGTCACGCGATTCGTGCGATATCGCTTTATCGCGCACGCTTTTGCTACGACCTTGGGCCTATATCTCGAAAATGAAGTAATTGATCCCCATTTTTATTACATTTTTAGATTTTTTACCAAATTAATGGAAAATGGCAAAGTTTAATCAAATCTATCGAACGGATTTTGAGAGCGAACACAGTTTTGTAAGCCACATAGAAGAGGCTTCGCTAACACTCCGCCTCAAATAACTTATATTTGATATATAGTATTTAGGCCCTATATTTAAAGTTTCATTTTAAAAAATAAAATATATTTTTAGTTTAAAACTGTTCATGTTCTGAATTAATACTCCGAAACAAAAATAATACTTTGTTGCATGGAATTGTTTATTGAGGCTGGGCAGGAGCGAAGTCCCTTCTGTATGGCTTACAGAATTATGTTCATTTTGAAAATTTGATCAATCGAGTGTAATTAATGTAGTGTACGTACGTAATGTAAATGTAACGGAAAATGGGCATTAAAAACGAAGAAAACACAAAGACAAAGTAATTAAAACCGAGAAAATTACGTAAAACTTACCTGCCCTTTCCGGCCTAGAGCAAGGATTGTCCTCTCATGTGGTCATCAACCGTTTTCTTCCGATCCCACTCACACATGCAGCCTTTACATACACATCCAAACACGTGTCAGCACTCGAGATAGATGGAGCGAAAGATAATTTATAAGTACTAATTCCAGTTTTAAAAAAATTGATTACAGAAACTCGAAACTCCGCTTCAATTTTATAACAATGCGATAAAGTCGCGCGGTGTCCCTAGTTAACATGTACTGTATATAGAAATTTGACAGTTTAATTTAATATTAGATTTCAAATAGTTTATTTTTGGAAAATATTTTATATAAAATACCTAAGATATAAAAATATGTACGTAATTATTGTCTTCACTATACAATTATTATTGTCTCAAATGAACCTCTGTAATTACAAACTGGACATTATTATATAAATAAAATAGACAAGACGAAATACAGAGTCATTTAAATATAAATATTTCTATATTATTCATTACAATATTTGATTTATAGTTCTTAATTACATCGAAAGTTTGGACTTTTATAATGCGTACTACTACTTAGCAAATATTATATAAAGAAGAGAAATGTCTTTATTACTATCCTAAACATGTAATTTAATAAAACAATTATCTATTAGAAAAATAATAAATTTAAATGCTTGAGATAATTTATAGTTTATCTCATATTATTCAAATGCACAAAAGTACATGCTAATATATTATATAATCTAATTAGCAATTCAGTTAGGCACATCTGGATTTACAGCACATAAATCTCATATGGCACTTATATGAATTTGTATGAAAACAGAACAACAGAATATATTTACCTTCTGAATAATTTTAGTAAATTTAAAAAAGGAATTAGGAGAATATTTAATTATTTCGTTGAATTTAATCTAATGTCCATGACAGAACGTATACTTGAAAGAGAGTTACAAGCTTTGCCGAGTTTGATGTTATGTCTTCAGATAATTTAGGATTATCTTTTGAACAAAATAATATTTTAATTTACTCTATTTAGTTTGTATACAGTACAAATTAAAATTACAGTATATAATGATCAATACAATTCTTATCAGTTGTATAGTTTTTGAAATTACTTTTAATCGTTAAATTCCTACGTAATTTATGCGGATAAGAAAATATTTGTTGAGTATTTTGAAATTTTATTGTAATACTGGGGAAAAAATTCTGACAAATTTTAGTAAAATGGATAGAAACAGCAACTAATGAGATTTCATAATACAAGACACTTTCTTTAATTAATTTGAATTAATTAAATAATACTATCATTTTTCATACCATAAGTAGTACTATAACATTATATTACATGCTTTAGTTTTATATTTTAAAACGTTTTCAGATAAATTGAACAAAAATAAATTACATTATCAGTTCTCAATCTTTTTGGGGTAACGTTAGTGACGACCAAAGAACAAGTGTCACATCAACGATACTTATAAACGAAAAGTGATATTCAAGATCTGCAATTTTTATATTAAAAAATATACTAAAATATAAAAAAATAATTAGAATTTTCAATTACTTTTTTAAAATTTTCGCACTCTTATAAACGATTGCACTGAACTATGCATTACGAAGTATACTTATTACGTAAAAATCATGTGACTTGAGCAGATGATTTAATCGATCTTCTTAACTGCATCGTGTTGTTTATATCTTCTAAATCTTTAACAAAATATTTCTAGAATTTTAATTACCATTGTCGCAGGATTCTAATATCTTAAATTTACAACGCTTTTACTTTGTTTAAAAGAAACTTATATTTTAAATTTTATAAAAATTTCTTTTAATATTCCTGATTAAATAAATATGCTGTGTTTTATTTTTCTCTAATTGTAGACAGTTTAGTGTATTCAAATTTTTGTTATTTCATTACACATTTCTGATAATTAGTAAAATAGCTAATTCGAAGATTTTTCATATGATTTTGAAATTAAAATTAATTTATTTACTGTATACGATTCTAAACAGTATAAACATTTACCAGCAACACATTAATTATAAAAATTAAACATTTGCAGCTGTTTTTGCAGTCGTCAGCTTTCGAATATAATTTTCTGGTATTCTGATAATGGCTGTAAGATTAACTGAAAATAATTGATTTTCATAACGATAGTGTTACTGATAGAGATTTTTACTGTTTATCATTACGAATAACCAGTTCGTATAAGGTTGTATTAATCAGGAGTCACAGCAGTAAAGTAAAAAAGTCACTGACTGACTACATATAGAGAAATCAGAGTTGCCGATTTTTGGGAGTTGATTGCTTCGCCCTCAAACAACTGAAGTAATTCCGAATAACTTGTTCGAAAGACAATTGTTTTCTTAGGTAGTATACAAAATTTTAAGATTTTCTATAAAGCGGTTGCCGAAATATAGGCAATTCAAAAGTACAAAAATCGACAAAAAAAGCTGTATTTTCTTCTTCTTCATCTGGCACTGCAGACGCTCGTAGAGAAAAAAAAACTACCGTGTCTAGAAAGCTCAAATTTTAAACTTAAACCTGTTTCGTTATCAGTGCTGACGAAACTTCTGGGTGAATGGTCAAAGTTGAAGTCAAACAAAAACATCTAAATGTAAAAAATTTCGCCAACTAAAAACTTATGACAATTTAGACGACTGTCAAAATTTTTCTTAAGAGTTTTTCTTTGGTAAACACAAGCTTGGCGTTTGGTAGCAATACCCACAATATTTTTAGCTGTATTATTGTTTTCTACATTTCGCCTCCAATCATCAAGCTTATCTTTACCAAAGAAAAAGAAAAATTTTTTACGTCTCAGATGTTTTTATTTGGCTTCATAGTATCGGTAAAAGTTCAAATTTATGATTAACAATATAATTTCAATATACCAATGAGAAAAATTAATAATTGAACAATATAATAAATTAATTTTGATTTTGATAGATTACTTGAGATATGCTAAATGTTTCAAGAATGTTTCAACTGACAAGAGCAAATGTGCAACTCAGTATCACAGGATGGTTCAATTATCAGAATCTGAAGAAGATATCAATGATGAAGTTGAGGATGGTTTAAAAGAAACTTGCTGGTAAGACTATTTATTACATTCCGTGGCAAAGTTTAGCGGAGAGATTTCACAAATGAACATTTGCGGATTAAGTTAATTTCACAGAAGTGTTCGACGTAGACAAAAGCAATGGTCAGATTGCAAGAAGGAAAGATTCGTCGCAAAAACGATCGAATAGGTTGCACGAATGATTGAAAGGATTTCACCTTTAACGTACGGTATGGCAGAAAATACGACTCATTATGCGGAATAAATTTAGCTAAATGATTTCGCCTAATTACGGACAGATTAGTACGTTGTTCTCGCGAAAATTTATTTATTCTATCGCGTTATGTAAATGTATGTAAGAAGAAACTTCATTAAATAATATAACAAATTCTATGTTTTATTTGCTGTCATTTCAAATTCGAAAATTTAGTGTCTCGGTGATATAAACGTAGGCATAAATTACATAAAATGGATACTTCTTATTCTGACAGAATACTGCTACAGAAATAAAATTTCAGCAGTTTGTGTTCGATAAAGGTAATATTAACGGTAATACATTATATGCATATGAGAGTGATGCTCTTTCCTCGTCTTTCAATTTCATCGTATTTACTTGCATGAGAGTTAAGCATCAGAGAGCATAACTCTCATGCAAGTAAAGACGATGAAATTCAATGTCCCGAATTCATTGTATTGATGATAGGGTGCATGACACGCATCAACTCATCAGTTGTTGTAGGGTTAGGTGTGACATTGTTGTATTTATTTGTGAATGAGGAGAAGCATTCTTCTATAGGATTAAGTTGTTGTGTGTACAGGTTAAGTATTTGTAATTTATGGACTGCTCCGTCAAATATAATGTGACGACGTCAGAGTGATAAAATTTTACGTTGTCCATTATTAAATTGAATCCCGGAAATCTGCTCTTTAGATCGTCACAATGTTCACATAGAAAGAAGAGAAATAATTTCGAGTTGTATGAGTCTTTCATAGCCTTATGTTTCACAATTTCAGTTGGAGCCAAATTAGCAACAAGACTTATAGTCATCAGTAACAATTTTAATCTCATTGAAACTTAGAACTTTTCGTCTATATCCAATAGTTTGGTCAGAATATTGAGATGATAACGCCATCAAATACTATTCTATATATCAACCCTATTCGTTGTTTTTCAGGTCGTATCTCTTCGTTTTATTTCACTCGGCAACTGCGGTATATTATCGCGAGAAATATTTAAAAACATCACAAAAACGTTTGCCATAACTAACTTTATACATATCAAAATGAAAAAAGAAAAAAAACAATTTTTGCGAGAGAAACATACTAATTTGTTCATAATTAGGCGAAATCATTCCGTTAAATTGTGGAATTCGTCTCTATTCTGCATAATAAGTGGTATTTCCTACCACGTCGTACGTTCAAGCTGAAATATTACCGATCATTCGTGTAATCTGTTCGATCGTTTATGCGACATTTCTATTCGTGCAATTTGTCCATTTTTTTTTTCTACGTCGAACACTTGTGTGAAATTAATCAGCAAATAGTTGCAANTTTTTTTTACAGTTTAGTAGCTTGAAGAGTCAGATAAGTATTTAGGAATGTTATTATTTCATTTTATTAATACATCTGAAATAGTTGACTCGATTATATCTCACATGGAAGCTATGTTTTGGAGTGATAGTCCACAAGACAAGTGATAAACAATTTGCTCTTCCTTTCAAAATAACTTTTCACTTTGCTACTCAATATAAAATGAGTTATATATTATACAGTATATGTAAATAACTACTATAATAAATAATTTACGTAATATTTTAATTAATGCTTTTACTTGATCATTCCATACGAAAGTTTCATTGTTACGTTTCGGCATATCCTGTATTTATTTCATTTTATTTTTTTATTTTATTAAAGGAATATAATTTATATTTGATAGATATATAAATAAATCATTATCAAATTACGCGATATTTTTGCTGTAATTTAATGTTTTCGTGCTTATTATTTAAAAACAGCATTCATTATATTGCCTGATAAGCTAATTGTAAGTTTATTGAATATTCTTTCAATTATATGTGGTATTCTTTTTTTCTCTTTTCTTCTCTTCTCAACTTTAAATAAAAGTCATCAGTATCAAGAAATTTTAGATTATTTTATACTGAGAATAAAATAGTATAGTTCATCGATAGTAAATAATAATAGAAAACTCGAAAGTTTTACTTATATTACGGTGAAAGTAATCAGTTAGTTTGCTCGATCGTTATCAACTTGAATTCTTTTTGGTTTAATAAAGAATACGTTAGAATTATTAAAGAAGAATCCAGGCACGTAACTACAGAGGACTAGCCATTCCTAGAAAGTTTTAAGCCATCCTTGTGCATTGTTTCAAAATTATGCTTGATTATTTAGATATTTTAAATAAATAGAAAATTTTTATCGTTTAAATTTCGAATATTTTTCTATCGTTTTGTACGTAAATAATTTAATTGTATTATATCATATTATATTTCAAAAATTTTTCTGAGGGCGAAATATTCCCCGTATCCTCTTTTACTGTGGACCTCCGGTAAGGTAATCTCACAATTTTCTTGAGCCACTCCTGCTATAGTTGCTATAAAAGTGACTTTAGATTCTCTCTTTTCCTGACGTTTCATTCTTCCTTTTGAAACAAACACAAAAATAAAACCTATGTAATATCCATTAGTTGCAGGCAATTGATTGATATATTGCAAACCTATTCTATCGACAGAAATAGTAAAAAATTTATAGAATTAAGGAATGCTTTCAAACATACCATCCCCATTTTAATATAAAATATTAATTCTCTGCTATTTAAGTAAGATTACAACACTTTAGGGACAGAAAATGTAAACGTTACGGCAATGAGGAAAAATCTCTTAAAAAGTAATCTCTTTTCTTTATTTCAATATTTGAGAGTAGTTTTCAATATTATCTGATCAGAAGAGCCGGAAATTCAAATTGAAATCAGCGCGAATTTCATAGAAATTCGCGCTCAAATCGACTTCAATTTTCCTTCTTCCGGTTCTCCTATAGTTGATATTAAAATATTTCTCAATTAAATATTATTATTTAGATCATAAAATGTATCATTTTTGTAGTAATATCTAGAAATGCATTTGATAGAATTAATACGGATTGTAAATATACAGCAGTTTATACTCACGACTTACATTATCATATATCTCAGCATTATTGTAAAACTGTGGAACATTATATTAAATGTATCATAAGTTATTACATTTTTACAATTTACTTTTTTTAATAAAATAATTTACTTTTGTAGGTAAAAATGTGTTTTTAAAAAATATTATAAATGCCGATAACGAGTAAACTTTTTAAGTCCAACTACTCAAAATACGATATATGACCCCTCTATTTCCCTATATCCTAGAGTTCCGTATTCTGAAATTTAATAATATCGATGTCCCGTATATACCAGTTATCGTGCCAAATTTCGTTTCTTAATCTTTACCCCATCTTGAAATATTAAATGAAATATATATACACATCTACACAGACACTTACATACATACACTCTTACCCAGGGTATTCTTCTAATTTTTACATTTTTGAATACAGTGGGTCTCAAAACGTAGAGATTCCAAAAACCAGGAGAGTCAAATTTGACACGATTACANGCCCTATATTTAAAGTTTCATTTTAAAAAATAAAATATATTTTTAGTTTAAAACTGTTCATGTTCTGAATTAATACTCCGAAACAAAAATAATACTTTGTTGCATGGAATTGTTTATTGAGGCTGGGCAGGAGCGAAGTCCCTTCTGTATGGCTTACAGAATTATGTTCATTTTGAAAATTTGATCAATCGAGTGTAATTAATGTAGTGTACGTACGTAATGTAAATGTAACGGAAAATGGGCATTAAAAACGAAGAAAACACAAAGACAAAGTAATTAAAACCGAGAAAATTACGTAAAACTTACCTGCCCTTTCCGGCCTAGAGCAAGGATTGTCCTCTCATGTGGTCATCAACCGTTTTCTTCCGATCCCACTCACACATGCAGCCTTTACATACACATCCAAACACGTGTCAGCACTCGAGATAGATGGAGCGAAAGATAATTTATAAGTACTAATTCCAGTTTTAAAAAAATTGATTACAGAAACTCGAAACTCCGCTTCAATTTTATAACAATGCGATAAAGTCGCGCGGTGTCCCTAGTTAACATGTACTGTATATAGAAATTTGACAGTTTAATTTAATATTAGATTTCAAATAGTTTATTTTTGGAAAATATTTTATATAAAATACCTAAGATATAAAAATATGTACGTAATTATTGTCTTCACTATACAATTATTATTGTCTCAAATGAACCTCTGTAATTACAAACTGGACATTATTATATAAATAAAATAGACAAGACGAAATACAGAGTCATTTAAATATAAATATTTCTATATTATTCATTACAATATTTGATTTATAGTTCTTAATTACATCGAAAGTTTGGACTTTTATAATGCGTACTACTACTTAGCAAATATTATATAAAGAAGAGAAATGTCTTTATTACTATCCTAAACATGTAATTTAATAAAACAATTATCTATTAGAAAAATAATAAATTTAAATGCTTGAGATAATTTATAGTTTATCTCATATTATTCAAATGCACAAAAGTACATGCTAATATATTATATAATCTAATTAGCAATTCAGTTAGGCACATCTGGATTTACAGCACATAAATCTCATATGGCACTTATATGAATTTGTATGAAAACAGAACAACAGAATATATTTACCTTCTGAATAATTTTAGTAAATTTAAAAAAGGAATTAGGAGAATATTTAATTATTTCGTTGAATTTAATCTAATGTCCATGACAGAACGTATACTTGAAAGAGAGTTACAAGCTTTGCCGAGTTTGATGTTATGTCTTCAGATAATTTAGGATTATCTTTTGAACAAAATAATATTTTAATTTACTCTATTTAGTTTGTATACAGTACAAATTAAAATTACAGTATATAATGATCAATACAATTCTTATCAGTTGTATAGTTTTTGAAATTACTTTTAATCGTTAAATTCCTACGTAATTTATGCGGATAAGAAAATATTTGTTGAGTATTTTGAAATTTTATTGTAATACTGGGGAAAAAATTCTGACAAATTTTAGTAAAATGGATAGAAACAGCAACTAATGAGATTTCATAATACAAGACACTTTCTTTAATTAATTTGAATTAATTAAATAATACTATCATTTTTCATACCATAAGTAGTACTATAACATTATATTACATGCTTTAGTTTTATATTTTAAAACGTTTTCAGATAAATTGAACAAAAATAAATTACATTATCAGTTCTCAATCTTTTTGGGGTAACGTTAGTGACGACCAAAGAACAAGTGTCACATCAACGATACTTATAAACGAAAAGTGATATTCAAGATCTGCAATTTTTATATTAAAAAATATACTAAAATATAAAAAAATAATTAGAATTTTCAATTACTTTTTTAAAATTTTCGCACTCTTATAAACGATTGCACTGAACTATGCATTACGAAGTATACTTATTACGTAAAAATCATGTGACTTGAGCAGATGATTTAATCGATCTTCTTAACTGCATCGTGTTGTTTATATCTTCTAAATCTTTAACAAAATATTTCTAGAATTTTAATTACCATTGTCGCAGGATTCTAATATCTTAAATTTACAACGCTTTTACTTTGTTTAAAAGAAACTTATATTTTAAATTTTATAAAAATTTCTTTTAATATTCCTGATTAAATAAATATGCTGTGTTTTATTTTTCTCTAATTGTAGACAGTTTAGTGTATTCAAATTTTTGTTATTTCATTACACATTTCTGATAATTAGTAAAATAGCTAATTCGAAGATTTTTCATATGATTTTGAAATTAAAATTAATTTATTTACTGTATACGATTCTAAACAGTATAAACATTTACCAGCAACACATTAATTATAAAAATTAAACATTTGCAGCTGTTTTTGCAATCGTCAGCTTTCGAATATAATTTTCTGGTATTCTGATAATGGCTGTAAGATTAACTGAAAATAATTGATTTTCATAACGATAGTGTTACTGATAGAGATTTTTACTGTTTATCATTACGAATAACCAGTTCGTATAAGGTTGTATTAATCAGGAGTCACAGCAGTAAAGTAAAAAAGTCACTGACTGACTACATATAGAGAAATCAGAGTTGCCGATTTTTGGGAGTTGATTGCTTCGCCCTCAAACAACTGAAGTAATTCCGAATAACTTGTTCGAAAGACAATTGTTTTCTTAGGTAGTATACAAAATTTTAAGATTTTCTATAAAGCGGTTGCCGAAATATAGGCAATTCAAAAGTACAAAAATCGACAAAAAAAGCTGTATTTTCTTCTTCTTCATCTGGCACTGCAGACGCTCGTAGAGAAAAAAAAAAACTACCGTGTCTAGAAAGCTCAAATTTTAAACTTAAACCTGTTTCGTTATCAGTGCTGACGAAACTTCTGGGTGAATGGTCAAAGTTGAAGTCAAACAAAAACATCTAAATGTAAAAAATTTCGCCAACTAAAAACTTATGACAATTTAGACGACTGTCAAAATTTTTCTTAAGAGTTTTTCTTTGGTAAACACAAGCTTGGCGTTTGGTAGCGATACCCACAATATTTTTAGCTGTATTATTGTTTTCTACATTTCGCCTCCAATCATCAAGCTTATCTTTACCAAAGAAAAATTTTTTACGTCTCAGATGTTTTTATTTGGCTTCATAGTATCGGTAAAAGTTCAAATTTATGATTAACAATATAATTTCAATATACCAATGAGAAAAATTAATAATTGAACAATATAATAAATTAATTTTGATTTTGATAGATTACTTGAGATATGCTAAATGTTTCAAGAATGTTTCAACTGACAAGAGCAAATGTGCAACTCAGTATCACAGGATGGTTCAATTATCAGAATCTGAAGAAGATATCAATGATGAAGTTGAGGATGGTTTAAAAGAAACTTGCTGGTAAGACTATTTATTACATTCCGTGGCAAAGTTTAGCGGAGAGATTTCACAAATGAACATTTGCGGATTAAGTTAATTTCACAGAAGTGTTCGACGTAGACAAAAGCAATGGTCAGATTGCAAGAAGGAAAGATTCGTCGCAAAAACGATCGAATAGGTTGCACGAATGATTGAAAGGATTTCACCTTTAACGTACGGTATGGCAGAAAATACGACTCATTATGCGGAATAAATTTAGCTAAATGATTTCGCCTAATTACGGACAGATTAGTACGTTGTTCTCGCGAAAATTTATTTATTCTATCGCGTTATGTAAATGTATGTAAGAAGAAACTTCATTAAATAATATAACAAATTCTATGTTTTATTTGCTGTCATTTCAAATTCGAAAATTTAGTGTCTCGGTGATATAAACGTAGGCATAAATTACATAAAATGGATACTTCTTATTCTGACAGAATACTGCTACAGAAATAAAATTTCAGCAGTTTGTGTTCGATAAAGGTAATATTAACGGTAATACATTATATGCATATGAGAGTGATGCTCTTTCCTCGTCTTTCAATTTCATCGTATTTACTTGCATGAGAGTTAAGCATCAGAGAGCATAACTCTCATGCAAGTAAAGACGATTAAATTCAATGTCCGAATTCATTGTATTGATGATAGGGTGCATGACACGCATCAACTCATCAGTTGTTGTAGGGTTAGGTGTGACATTGTTGTATTTATTTGTGAATGAGGAGAAGCATTCTTCTATAGGATTAAGTTGTTGTGTGTACAGGTTAAGTATTTGTAATATATGGACTGCTCCGTCAAATATAATGTGACGACGTCAGAGTGATAAAATTTTACGTTGTCCATTATTAAATTGAATCCCGGAAATCTGCTCTTTAGATCGTCACAATGTTCACATAGAAAGAAGAGAAATAATTCCGAGTTGTATGAGTCTTTCATAGCCTTATGTTTCACAATTTCAGTTGGAGCCAAATTAGCAACAAGACTTATAGTCATCAGTAACAATTTTAATCTCATTGAAACTTAGAACTTTTCGTCTATATCCAATAGTTTGGTCAGAATATTGAGATGATAACGCCATCAAATACTATTCTATATATCAACCCTATTCGTTGTTTTTCAGGTCGTATCTCTTCGTTTTATTTCACTCGGCAACTGCGGTATATTATCGCGAGAAATATTTAAAAACATCACAAAAACGTTTGCCATAACTAACTTTATACATATCAAAATGAAAAAAGAAAAAAAACAATTTTTGCGAGAGAAACATACTAATTTGTTCATAATTAGGCGAAATCATTCCGTTAAATTGTGGAATTCGTCTCTATTCTGCATAATAAGTGGTATTTCCTACCACGTCGTACGTTCAAGCTGAAATATTACCGATCATTCGTGTAATCTGTTCGATCGTTTATGCGACATTTCTATTCGTGCAATTTGTCCATTTTTTTTTTCTACGTCGAACACTTGTGTGAAATTAATCAGCAAATAGTTGCAAAGTGTTTCTGTATTCGTGATAAACATATGTTTACTTGTGAAATTTCTCCGCTAAACTCTGCCACGGAGTGTAAAATATACAGTGCATTTTTCATTAAAAACTTAAATTAAATTAAATTTAGATTTAATATTAAATTTATATTTTTTGCAAGTCGATAAGTTCTATGTAGTGGTGGTAATGAATGTAAATAAGAAATGCCGATCCAGTTTATAAATCTTAATTTAATCTGAAGAATAATAAACGCCGAATAATGAATGTCTTATAGGAACGGCTTGTTAAGATCGTAATTATAATGCTGACTAATTAGAGAAACTGGGTTAAGAAAATAATATCATAAATAGAATACAGAATGAATCAAAAGTTGCTTAATACCGTTATAAAATCGAACAGAGATAGAGAAGTTCTGGATTGATAAAAACATATTATATCATGCCTGAATGTCAAATAAAATGTTTCTATACCAAAATTTCTCTTGCCCAACTCAGTCGGATTTTGTACGAGTGTTAAATGACTTTTGATTCACCCTGTATTACGAAGTGTATGACTAGCTTTAAGACAGTGATATTGTAAAATAAACATTAATAACTATATGACATGTAATGTTTGATGTATATTATTTAAAAGATATACAGTCGACCCCCCTGTGGGCCGGGCTGTGAACGGTTCAGGTATTTGTAAAATCTAAGTGACTCGTACAACATGGAATTCATATAAAGCGGAATTATCAACAGTGTTATAGAGGGGTCGACTGTATAATGCAGTTCCAGTTTTTAAATCTTAAGTTTTATTGTTTGTAATATTTTTTGAAACATTTCAAGCAGTCAATACATATATATTTTGAAAATTATCTGTATAACGATTTACCCGTAAACTGCTTAATTATAAAAATATATCTTTAATAATTGAGATATTTATCAATTATTTAAGATAGTCTTTTATACAAAATTACAAAAGCTTGAGAATTAAAAACTTTTTAATAATTTTTATTTATTCACTTATCTATTTTGTTTAACTTTTTTTTTTTTATTCTCGGTCTTGTCTATCTTCGTCTTAACACTTTCCATTATTGTAATTATACTTTCAGTGCTTTTACCGAATTTGTCCATTGTAAGTACACCCATACAGTTAAGGATTGCGGTCAAGATGCGGGAAATTTTCTTCAAAATCATATGGATAGGATGTCTGGATCATTAATCCACCAACATTGCTCCTTATATACTTTTCAATCGGATGCTTGTGGCACAGCGAATATCATCTTGACGATAAACGAATGGTGGATGATATTCTCGATCGTTTTGGCATGGAAAATTTGTATGCTGTTACAATAAAATTTGCCTTATTTTTCATTCGAATAATTGTTATCGGAAATAATATTTAATTATTTCATTAAATAAATAAAAAAATTACAAATAAAAATTCTGTATAAGTCTATTCTTTTTAAAATATTATATATTACAATACATATATCTGAAAATTATATTAAATTACTCAAATTTTTCTTTAAAAAAACAGAAAATATTTGACTTAAAAACTCGTAATTTATTCTAATTGAATTCACAAATAATATAGAATTTCTCTTAAGCTCAATTTTAAAATAATGAATTTTGTAAAAACAAAATTTAAAATTGTCAATTTAAAATAAATTAATTAATTAAAT